GCTGCCTCGATCCGCTGTTTTGGCGCCCTCGACCACGACCCCGGTTGCCGTTGCCACGCCCTTGTCCGCGTCCAAAGCCGCCACGCTGCCCGGAGGATGAACCGTCACCATAGCTGCTGCCAAAAAATTGTCCGCCACCGCCGGAGTTGCCACCATGAGAGGAGCCGCGCCCGCCAGGCCCGCCGTGCTGTCCACCGGCGTGGCTGCTGCCGCCATGCCCCGCCAGCAGCGTCGTGCTGCTGGTGCTGCCCAGGGGGGTCCGTTGTCGGTCAAGGAGAAGGAGGGCCGACCGGACCTGGAGGAAACTCGGCAGGGGATCTTGAAATTGAAGGAACGAAGTTTGGGCTTGTAGATTGTCGGGGAGGCCACGCAACATTTGGAGAACAAGTTGGTGCTCAGACACGGGGGCATCGACGTCATCTAGCCAATCTGCAATATTTCTGAGCTCTTGACAATACGTAGCCATGGGAGTAGATCCTTTGACGGTGGTACGAAATTGGTGCTCGAATTGCATGGCGCGAGCATGTTTATTGTCGTGAAACAGGTCATGAATCACCTTCCAGAGAGCAGAAGCAGTAGAGACAGAGGAAATAACTAGATCTGAAACTTCATCAGTGATGGTGGAGAGAATCCAGCCTTGGAGAACGGCATCAAGCTGAAACCATTCATCGTCGTCATCGGAGATGGGAGCAATAGAACCGTTGAGATAACCCTGAAGGTTGAACCGCCGTGCAAGAAGAAGGAACGGGCGGCTCCACTTTTTGTAGTTTGGTTGAGAAAAGCTGAGTTGGATTGGAACATGGAGTTTGACGTTGGAGACAGAGAAAGCCAGATGTGGAGATTTTTGGGTGGAGGATTGAGAGATAACTTCACTTTCAGCCATGGAAGGAGGGGGAGGAAGCTGCCTGCCGTGAAAAAGAGGAGGAGAGAGACGGCGGCGCAGGTGGAGGTTCGGCGAAGGGGAGGGCCGAAACTAGGGAGGATATTTTTAGGGTTTTAGTTAGGCTCTGATACCATGAAGAATAAGTATTTTCATTGAATAAATTGTGAGGAGAGTACATGTATATATACACAAGTCTCAATCCTAATTAAGGTAGGAGGGACACAATAGGAAACCTATACAAATATGGTAACAATAATAATACAATAATATTAAATATAATATATATATTTAACATTTGTCACACTACGCAAAATGAAATAAAATTTTAAAATTTTTTAATTTATTTTATTTAAAGATCGATTAATACAGAAATAAAAAAAGTCTACATACTCTCTGCTTAACTATGTGAAACGTTCTTCACAATAACAAGAATATTTTATTTTATCAAAAAATTAATGAAAATATACAAATAAATAAAAGTTTTCACATTTTTTTAAAGAAAAATTATCTCAAATAATCCTACCTTTTTGTGCTCTTTCAAAAATAATCCCACTTTTCACTGTCACCTAAAATAATCCCACCTTTCTACATGTGTGCGAGTTTTGGGTCGTCGTTAAAAAACTAACGGTCACTTAACGGAATTTTTGAAAAATGTCTGTTTTTCGTAAATAAATGAAAGTTGAGATTATTTTAGGTAAATTCTCTTTTTGTTTTAAATTTCTAACTTTAAATTTAAATGTATTTTTTTAATTTTGTTTTTGGAAAAATAATAAAAAATTTAAGTGTTTTTTAGAGTGAAACTAATTGTTTTTTCAATAATCAATAATCTGATAATAATTTAAAAATAAATTATTTTACACATGCTAATTTATTTACTTCATAACTCACTACATTTTCTTGTAAGTTGCAATTATTTTTCTTGAGCGGCACTTCGAATTGTTTTTTGATACTATATTATTATTATTTCTTAAAAAATTTCATTGCAAGCTTGTGAAATTTTTTCGATAATTCTATAACACAATAATTTTTTCTTTTAAATGGAAATTTTATTTTTATAACTCACTACATTTTCTGTTGTTTTGTAATTTTTCATGAATAACACTCCAAAATGTTTATTGATTATCTTCTATTGCCTATATTATTTTTTTCTAAAATGAAATTACCTAATTTGTGATTTTTTCATAATTCAGTACAAATTTTCCCCCAAAATAGTACTTCAAACGTTGTGAAAATGGCACACTATTTGTTTTTTCCAAAACGGCACTAATAAGTTTTATAACTCACTACCATTATTTTTGTATTGCAATTTCTTTCTTGATCGATACTCTGAATTTTTATTTATAATTCAATATTACGGAGTATATTTTTCCAGAACAGAAAACAAAATTTGTAAATCGTTAGACAATCTCTAACAAAAGTGTACTGTTATATATTTAAAAATATTAATTTTAAATTTAAACTTAAAAAAGTAAAAAGTAAATTTGCCTAAAATAATCCAACCTTTCATTTATTTGCGAAAAACAAGAATTTCCTAAAAATTTCGTGAAGTGGCCGTTAGTTTTTTAACGGCGACCCAAAACTCGCACACATGCGGAAAGGTGGGATTATTTTCGGTGACAGTAAAAATTGGGACTATTTTTGAAAAAGCACGAAAAGGTGTTATTATTTGAGATAATTTTTCTTTTTTTTAATTGTGAACTGATCATTCTTTTTAAGACAGAGGGAGTAATATTCTTACTTTTCAATTAAAAGAAAGAGGTACGTGTACGTCCAATCAAAATTGAAGCCCCCCCCTCCCCCCACCCACCGCATAAAAAGTAGAGTCATACTCGGGAAGGCATAGAGGTTAAAAGCAAGTGCAATTTGGAGTTCACCGAGATTTTTTCAATACAAAAATAATACCACAATTCTCTTGACATTGATTTTCAATATTATGCGATGACATCAGACACTTATAGACTACGGTGCTCCATTGGCCATGAAAGTGGTTCCTAACCCCCCCCCCCCCCCCCCC